TCTTTTCTTCCGTTTTGTCTTTACAGTCACTGTATCCATCAGATTCTAGACAGTGTCCATCATATTCACCAACATGACATAGTGCACAGGGACCTGAAGGTCAGTATGTAGCTCACACACTGCCTGTATATGGCCTGTCTGTTTGCCCCTGCTTGCTCCTGTCGGTGTGTCTGTAGCTGTAGCCTGTCTGTCTGTCTGTCCGTCTGTGTTTGGCATCATGGGCTTCCCCTAATCCATAGACTGCCCTCCCAAAATTCCCAAATCCTTACTTCCTACGCTTGATGCCGTCATGCAGATAATCAGAACTTGGGATATTTTTGCTTGTGAGGTTTTTCTTTTTTTTTTTTTTATTGCTCCCTCGACTATTACTTTTAAAGGGATAATCCACTCAAAAATTAAAAAAAAATTTTGTCATTATTTACTCATCCTCGTCTTGTTACAAACCTGTATGCGTTTTTTGCATGTTCACAGAAGACAGTAAGCCAAATAGGTTTGGAATGACATAAGGATGAGTAAATGATAAGAACTATGTCTTAAATGATATTTCAATGAATATTTAGACTATAGTATTATCGCGGTTTTTTGTATAAACATCCTTAAATTACTATAAGTTAAAGCAATGTACCATATTTTCTATGTCAAAAACACTGGACAAACAGTTTTTTGTTGTAGTAGGATCCTATTTTAAAGGTTTAATTAAATTTTAATCATTTAATCAAATGCATGTCTGAACTTTTAACAGCTTTAATAATTTAATAATTTATCTATTTATTTTTACAATAATATGGCCCTATGAAATGTTTTATTTTTTCCAGAAATTGTTGTCTGTTTTAATTTTTCTGGATTCTGTGTTTTATGATTTAGCGCACATTTATTATGAAAAACTGTGGTAATCAATTGAATGCATAAAACTTTATCAATTTAATTAATCCTTTACATATAATGAAATTTAAACAATTTCATACATTTTTTGGCAAACAAAGTGCTGCACAACAATGGCTAAAACATTAAAACATGGGCGACAAATTGTATAATGTTACGTAATATTCCTTAAAAATAATGTTTCAAACTATATTATTGTCATTACTTTGTTATTACTTTGAGAAGTGTATGTTCTACTAGTTAGTATCAACAGTATTATGAACTGCCAATCATTATCTTATTTCAAACAATAGTATACTGTCTTTTCACAGATACAGTATTTGTAGATTTGTAATTTTACTTCTCAGTGAAGATTCTTGCAAAAGTTAGTGGTTAAATTGCTTCTCTACCTTATAAAGGGTGAAAGAAGAGACTCGAATACTGTAATATTTAGTAATGTGAGTACAGGGAATAAAGCTAATATTAGAGAAGGCAGCACAGTGAGTTTCAGTACATTTTTAGACATTTTAATGTCCACAGCAGTTCTTTCAAATGGAGATTTTGTGCTGAAACACAGTGACACTTCCTGTCTCATCCCTACACATGCACACAAAATCACACAGTCATACACACATCTTCTCTTGCAGACCAGCCATGATCAGCAGCTGACACTGGGGGAGGTGTGAAGAAACACAAACACATGCACACACTATGATGAATGCACAAAACCTTACATGCTTTTAAATATATAAATGTCCCTATATGCATTCATACATTTAACGGCAGAGTAAACTGACAGATTCACTCTCAGAAATGGGTTTATTCAGAAATGTCTTACGCTTGCCGTGACCATATGTCATGCTCCGTGGTCTTTTAATGGGAGACATTTAGAGAGCAAATGCAGTACTTTAATTTACAGCTCTGAACTTAACTGCCATGCCTTATCTTTACACACATGCCCGTAAACTCATGCAGTGCACACTGCACATGGATAATAATAATCACAGCTATAACGTTATTTATGCAGTGCTGTCCCAATCAGTAATGTTCAAATGCTTAAAGTGCTGTATTAAAAATTAAATATTGTTGTAAGGCTAGATTTCTTTAATTAGTTTTATGTAAATCTAATAATTTATACTGTTTTGCCTTTTTAGGACAGATGAGAATGACAGAATCATCTTCCAGTATGTGTGTGAGAAGTTTTTTGCTGATTAAAATGGTTTTAATTTGAATTAAATGCAGTCTTTTAGAGAGTCTGCAAAATAACCAGTTAATGCTAATTGGGATTACTAAATTGACTTCAAGATTGACAGTGTCAGAAGCAAAGCTTAAGTCCAAGAAAGTCTAAACATTGATCCTGACAATATTAGTCTTAAAGCTTTTATGTCTTCAAATAGCACAATTTCAGTTCTGTAACTAAAGTCAGTCTGCAAAATCTTCTACATCTTAATATAGCAATTTTTTTTTAAATAATGATAATAGTCTATATGATCTAAACTTGCTTCTTGCAAGAATATTATTTAGTTGAAAGGCATTTGATCTGTTCAGAATAAAACTTGTAATTATTAATTCTAATTAAATTATTGCCTACACTACAATTCAAAAATTTGGGTCAGATTTTTTAATTGTTTTTGAAAAGTCTCTGATACTAATATTACAATTTAAAATAACTGTTTTCTATTTGAATATATTTTAAAATGTAATTTATTCATGTGATGGCAAAACTGAATATTCAGCGGCCATTAATCCAGTCTTCAGTGTCACATGATCCTTCAGAAATGATTCTGATTTGTTGCTTAAGAAAAATGAAAACAGTTGTGCTGCTGAATGTTTTGTCGAAACCATGATAGAGTTTTTCAGGTTTCCTTGATGAATGGAAAGTTCAAAAGAGCTGCATTTATTTGTTACTTTCATAACATTATAAATGTCTTTACTGTCACTTTTTTGTCCTTGCTGAATCAAAGTATTAACTTCTTTCTAAAAGAAAATCTTACTGACCTTTTGAATGGTAGTGTAAGTCAGTTTGTAGCTTTAAAGATTTCAATACAGTAAATGTCATTCACAGTTACACCATATCACATGACCTTCACACGCACACACACACACACACACACACACACTGCTCTCTCACTTCAGCATGCAAACCCTCTTACTGTTCACCCTCCATGTGCTGTGTGATTGTAGAGCAGCTATAACTCCCCCTATCTTTTTCTTCCAGCACTGAATTATTTGACTCATGGGATATGCTGTATATTGGAATAGCTTTGACCTAGAGAACCATTTCCAGCATTAATTGATTTACACAATTGATGTCTTCTTTTTCTTCACCACCGACCTCAGTCACCCTCAGTGTATTATCACTAGGGTTTCTGATCTGGGTTTGGGCTGTTAAATACCAAAACCGTCTTTCGCCCTGGTGTAGGCTGTACCCGTGCATAGCAACATGCAGGGGTCTCTTGGCAACCAGCTCACATGCGTGCGCGCACGTGTCACTGCTATCTTAAACTCAAACCGCAATCACATTACACTCTCATGACACTATATTTATCAAGGGCAGCATAGATATACAGCTGTCTTACTCTGTATGGTTTTCTTCAAAGTTTAATTTCCAAAACCCTATTTTACTGCCCTAGGGAGGAGGAGAAGAGTAGAGCTGCAAGCAGCAATTAGCAGAATCAAGCTGCCATTTTCCAATAGCCGCTGGATTTTCAGCAGCCATTACTCCAGTCTTCAGTGTCACATAATCCTTCAGAAATCATCCTAAAATGCTGATTTGGTGCTCAAGAAACATTTGACAACAGTTATGTGGCTTAATATTTTTGTGGAAACCATGATACGTTTTTCTGGATTCTTTGATGAATAGAAAGTAAAAATTGGCATTTATTTAAAATAGAAATCTTTTGTAACAATGTACAAGTCTTCACTGTCACTTGCAATGCATCCTTGCTAAATAAAAGTATTAATCTCTTTTTAAAAAAATTAAAAATAAAATCCTTACTGGCTCCAAACGTTTGAATGGCAGTGTATGTAAATGCAGTTGTGTTGCATTTTTTTGGCTTTTTAGTTGATCTCAGATCCATTCGGTGAGCAGTTCATGAGAAGATTTTTGCCTTCAAGAAAAAATAGGCTTCCTTGAGGCTTATTATTATTATTATTTGAAACTAAAGTTTAAAGCTGTTCATACACAATAATAGGTGGAAAAGCAATAGGAAACTTACACTGGATTCGTAAATATTTGAATCTGATCTGTTTACCACTTTTACACTGAATCGTAACAACCTTACTGTATCCAAAAAAAAGTATTTTGGTACCTGTTATATTTTGCAGTAATTTTATGGGACAGGTCCTACATATGTTGGCATAAGAAAATAAAAGGAAACTCTCAAAAGATGCAAAGCATTGCCTCCATATAATAATGTTAATATTGTACCCACATTTAAATAGATCACAATTGAATCAATTTATACTAAACAAGTTTTCAGTTCTGAGGGGATGTTTTGCTTTCTAACTATTAGTGCTGAAATCCACTTGCGGCTTTGCAACTGTTTAAGTATTTTTTAAATTTTTTATTATTATTATTATTTCAATTATTGTATGCTAATATTTAGCTACATGGAGGCAAGGCTTGAGTCTAGAGAGAGATACCCTTCCCGTTTCCTTTTACATTTTTACCTGCCCAAAATATATGGGATGATATTAGACTCTAAGACGTGAAATGCTGTAAACTGCGAAAATTAAGTCTCAAAATCCAAATGAACTGAACAAGATTGACTCGAACTAGACATCAATTAATGCACGCGTGTCACCTGATCCACATATGCATAGATTCCTTTTTGCATGAGCAATTTATGATATATGAATGCAGAACAAAACATTTTTATTCACAAACATGTCTGTATTTGTACAAATCGCTGCACAATCATTTAATCCCGAATTCCACAGACTCAAATTGAAAGACATTTGTTTGTGGTTAGTAAGATACATGTATAAAATGTATGCAGTACATGGATAATTGTGCGTGCATCTATTAATCATTTAGAGTCTAATATCATCCCATAAAAATACCCCTCACCCCTGGCCTGTGCACGGGACTGTAGCGCTGCTCAGACTAACCTACGCCCCCTGCTGTTTGCATGCAGTCACTGCATCCAGCAGATCCTGGAGGCGGTGCTTCACTGCCATCAAATGGGCGTGGTGCACCGAGACCTGAAGGTAAGTGACGATTGTGATGTGTGTGAACTTGTGTATGTGCTTATAAACTTGCTATGTGGAAATCTGTGCCTACTGCTGTGTCGATTTGAAGGGGACTGACATAATTGCCAATAGGAACTCTTGGTCCCCCTGCGAAAATGGGTGGAAAAAAGATTCAGAAATGCATGGGAGGTCAGTCCGATTTCACACAGTGATAGTGCATGGCGTACATGCTTGAGTGTTGCTGTGTTTGGCCATTGCTGGTAATAAATTCACTTTCATGAATGTACAGGTAAGACTGAGCTAATTGGACTGACTTAAAGAGCTACATTGATTTGAGTTTATTGATCAAGACAAATGACTCTTTTGCACTTCAACAGTGCTCCCACTAAAATGACTTATGAAATTATTATTATATAATAATATAAATAAAAATAGACCAAATTTAATTAACTATGACAATGTAACTCTTATCTAGATTGCTTTTATTGACCAGAGAGTCAGTGTAGACATCAGGGTCCCAGTCCCAGGCCAGTTACCATGTTCAGGTTTGAGTGCACTGCAATGCCATTTGACTGCTCCCTTCTGACCTTTGACCTTCTCTAAAACGCAGTGTGCTTCTGGGAAGTGTTGTTCCTAGACATAATTCAACTATACTGTCACATTACCTGGCATACTTTGCAGTCGGATTACAGTGCGAACTGGCCAGAAATTAGCCTAGGATGCTTATCGTAACTGCCAAAAAGCTCCTATGACTGCTAGACGAACACCGCTTCAGAATGCATGCTGCATGTTTATCTGTCGATAATAATCTTGTAAATTGTTCTTAATGTGGTTTGCTTGTTTGTATGTCTCGTATGCATGTATAAGTGGTTTGATTGTGACTTTTATCTGTAATGTCACTTTATAAATACACATTTATCTGCAGGTTTTCTTCAAAATGCACAGATCCGGTGCACTTTGTATTGTGTACTTTTATTGACATGTTGAGTCTGTAGAGAGCATGTGCAAAATTATATCCAGATGTATATCAATAAATCAGGTGCTTTGATCTGATTTAATTAGTAATGCACAGAAGTTATTGTTTTAGCGAAACATGAAACTGAAATTTAAGTTAAACTGAAAAAATTTGGTAATAATTACATTTGCGTAATTGGATAATTGAACTCGGTATGCTTTTGAAGGTGTTGTGTTCTTAGATGATAAATTAATCCAGTCATAGTAGTTTAGCAACAAGTCGCCTCAGTATTTCAAAATTATTTAATCTGAAACCAAAAAAATCATTACTACTTTTGCTGTTTTAGCCGAATATTGGACCGTGAACACTTGACATTCCTCCCTATTACAACTGCAGCCATAGTTATTTACATGTATTAATGTCTAGATCTGCAATAGACTTCAGCGGATGATTTTCAAAGTATTTAGGTTATAATTAATGTTAGAAAACCAAAAATAAAGTTTTGGTAATTAAATTTGGATAATTGGTTAATTGAACTTGGTATGCTCTTCAAGGTGTCGAGTTCTTTGGTGATAAATTAAACCAGTCGTAGTAAAGTTCTTCAGCAACAAGCCACCTCTCAATATTTCAGCCAAACTACTTTTGCATATTGCTATTTTAGCATAATTTTTGGGAATGGTTTAGTGTGTCCATATTGCTGACATGTTTACCTTTTGTAGCTCATCTACGTTTTGTGCATGAAATAGTCAAACGACTCATTTGAGAAGCGCCAATTAAACGTCACTCATTTCGGTCAAAGATTTCAGCCTTTCAAAACGTTTTCCTTTGAAAACTAAAATTCATTCTTTTTTGCCGTTTCAACCAAATATTTTAAGTTGCTGTAATTTTGGTGCATCACGGGATTTAATCCGTATAGGTTTAGATTCAAGCCTCAGTTTCACTGTAGCAGTATCCAGAAAAAGAAACCAGGTAAATGCTAAAAACAGTGTTGCTGCGGTCAGCTCCGTACTCTACTCTGACAGTACCAGCATTTTGGTTTCACGCTCTTAAGTGTCTGCCCACCACACTGGAGTGCCCTTTTAAACGGAAGCCTGGGGCACGCGCTCTTCCACAGCTGGAATCTGAGTGGGCATGACAGGAATGCCACTGCAGAAAAGAGCAGCGGTCTTGCACATACACACACACACACAGACACAATAGCACACATCTATCAACACCCATGCTTTTTTGGATTTTACTGAGCTAAGCAAGTAAACTAAACCAACTCATGCCAATTTAAGCAGTGCACCCAGCTGTGTTTTTCAGTATATGCATATGCATGTACTTTGATTCGTAGCTGTGCCCATGCTGATGAGATTTTTGCTAGGAAGTCATGTCATGGATTTCACTGCAGAGGTTATACGCTCGTGAAAGAGCATTGGAGAGCTAGATCTGTTCTCAGAGGGTGCTGTTCATCAAAATTCCTCCCACTACTGAATTTAACCCCCTTTTTTTTTTTTTTTTTGGAAGCGATCTGCATTAGCTATGCTATATGAGAGCTGCTGAGGATGGAGACAAAATCTAGGAAATTTTAATGAAGGGAAGGTAGTGAAGTGATTGTGATAATGAGTGTTATGGAACAGGGATAACAATGTAGAAAAAAGTAAATACCCCCTGGCTTAAAATGAAACATTTAGGAGCAAAATTAGCTTGATAGCATTGCTGTCCGTAGATATGTATATGTAAATGGCTCATTAGCGTCTGTTTCTATGGGCCGCTATATGTAAGCCGTCTGCCAAATTGGAACGGTCAAAGCTGGTCTGTGAGCACTTGAGAGCAAGCAACTCTGCATCTGCACCTATAGTTATTCACATGTATTAATATCTAGATGATTTTCATAGGACTTAAGTTATAATTATAAATGTTAGATTATTCTGCATATGCTAAAAAAAATATTGGTTGATGTTCTTTTAAATATTGATAATCAGAGAACCCTACAGTCAAGTTGCTCTTAGCTTCTAATGAAAGCAGTGAAATAATTATATATGAACGAATGTAAAAGAATATACATATACACCCTTCAAAATTGATTTTGTAATGTTTTTGATAGAAGTCTCTTATGTTCACCAAGGCTGCATTTATTTGATAAAAAAAATACAGTAAAATAGTAATATTGTGAAATATTATGACAGTAAATGTTTTCTATTTTAATATAGTTTAAAGTGTAATTTATTCATGTGATTACAAAGCTGTATTTTCATCAGTCATTAATCGAGTCTTTAGTATCACTTGATCCTTCAGAAATTATTCTGATTTGATGGTCAAGAAACATTTCTTCTTATTATTACAGTTAAAAACGTTTGTGCTAGTTTATATTTTTGTGGAAACAGTGACACTTTTTTTAATTTCTTGAATAGAAAGTTCAAATGAAAGCATTTACTTGAAATATAAATCTTTTGTAACATTATAATGTGTAACAATAAATGTCTGTCACTTTTGATCAGTTTAATTCATCCTTGCGGCATTAAAGTATTGTTGTTATTATTTTAAATAATCTTTCCGTCCCCAAACTGTTAAACGGTAGCTATTTTTATTTGTCAGTTGTCCAAGTTTTAATCATTTTAGTAGCAGTCTACAACGTGAATAAGAGAGTGAGGGAAGTGGATGTTAGATCCACCAGACCCTGCAATGCAGGAAAAGCTGCTTGAGATTTCTGCAGTGCTAAAGGTGTGTGTGACTGTGTATTTGGTTTGTTAGCCTGCCCTTATAGATCAGAGTTGCTAGCACTATGATTTATAAGATTGTGTCATGTGTGTGCTAGCGGAAGCATCAGGAGGCACTAGAGGGGATATCACATTATTAGCATCCATCAGTGACAGAGAATAATGAGGATAGATAATCTGGGTCAGTTGGGAGGAAAACACGCATACGCACACAAATGCACACACACTCTTATTACCAGTGAAGACAAACATAGTTTTTTTTTCCCTGCGTCCTTTATTTAGAAACATTCTGCAGTCGGAAAGTTCAACCAAACCCACCATTCAACTAATATCTCACAGAATTGGATTTGGGGGGGGCGGTTAGGTTGATTATACACACTTAAAATGTGCGCGGGTTTTATGTTAAGAACATGACTATCTCTTCTTGTGTGTGTGTCAGCATGCACAGTGGTGTTTGTTACTGTGAGTGTATGTGTTTGAGGCAGTAAAGTTGTGTGTTAAGGCAGGAGAAATGTTGTTTTCATTCTCCCCTCAGCCAGAGAATCTGCTCTTGGCCAGTAAGTGCAAGAACGCCGCTGTGAAGCTGGCCGACTTTGGACTGGCCATTGAGGTGCAGGGAGACCAGCAGGCATGGTTTGGTATGAAGACATTGCCATAATAACGCAAACCTGTAGTTTGATATTGAGAGACGCCCACACAATTTATAACAAACATTTTAGAACTCGTTTGTACTGCATACACCTTTATTTTCACATTTTATTGTGCATTTTACAGGATTTGCAGGGACACCAGGTTACCTGTCCCCTGAGGTGCTGAGGAAGGAAGCATATGGCAAACCGGTGGACATCTGGGCCTGCGGTAAATAAACTCAAATGCAGTGACAAGCACATGCTCATTTTGAAGAAATTACAAGAGATTTATGTGCTGTGTGCCAAAACTAAGTGAGCTGCCTTGCTGTCTACTTCACTGTCTACCTTCCCTGCTGATATAAAGCTATTTAAACCAGCCCAAGAGGGTTTTCTATTCTCAGCTGGTCTCCTCTCCTAGTCAAGCTAGTCTGGTTGTCTGGTTTTAGAGGGGTTTTGGACACTTTCTAATTTTTTTTGGCCCGCCAGCTAAACTATCTAAACACCAGCTTGACCAAGATGGAAGATCAAACAGACTAGGAAACTGGACTTAGGCTGGTTTATTTGTTTTCAGCAGGGTCCTAAAGGGATGTGCATACATAAAGAGATTTGCAGTGACAGATAGAGGAAGTCATTAATTTTCAGTGAGAGTTGGTGATTTCCAGTCAACCTGCATGACACCAATTAAGCCTACGAGCAAACAAAGGCACAGAGACTCAGCAACCTCATCTATTTTGTGCTTCTTTTGAGTATGGAACAAATAATATTAACTGGTAGCACCGTTTAACTGGCTGTACTGTATGCAACAGCCTTAAGAATGTTGCTTACTTAGGCTCTACATGGAACAGATTTTTTTTTCTTTTGAATTCTCTTTATTAAGGTGTGATTCTGTACATTCTGCTGGTTGGATATCCACCTTTCTGGGACGAGGATCAGCACAAACTTTACCAACAGATCAAAGCGGGAGCTTATGATGTGAGTTTTTGGATCGTTTCAGTTTTGTGTACTGTATTTACAAAAAATGATCAAAACACGTTATTGCTATCACAAGTTTAGAAAATCACATTTAAATTTGTATTAGTTTTACTTTAGATTGCACAATGCATTTTTAACACTTAAAGACATTGGTTGTCCAATAGACTGCTAAAAGATGTATTTAAAAATAAAAGTTGCCTATTTCATAGAATGACTGATTTATTTTTTGGCTGAGCCAAAATTGACTGATATATCTTCATATTTCCAGTTCAGTAAATTGAGAAAAGGGAACTTCAATAGGTGACTTAATTTTCTTAGAGATGCGCGATTTCTAGTCAAAAGTTACAGAAATTGCAAATTCCAACAGGTGGTTTATTTGATGCAGTGCTTGCTGACAGAGCTAAACTGTAGTTGTATAATATTCCTGTTTTTTATTTCTCTAATAGTTTCCATCTCCAGAATGGGACACAGTTACTCCTGAAGCCAAAAATCTCATCAATCAAATGCTAACCATAAACCCTGCCAAGAGAATCACTGCACAGGAAGCTCTCAAACACCCATGGGTCTGCGTATGTGTTCACCGACGCGCACTGCAGACATATAGAACACTTATACAAAAACAGCAAAACACAGGTGTAGATGTACAGTAAAAATCTTTTCCCTATTTGTTTCCATAGCAACGCTCTACTGTGGCTTCCATGATGCACAGACAAGAGACTGTGGAATGCCTGAAGAAGTTCAACGCCAGGAGGAAACTCAAGGTGTGTTTCATGGTCACACACACATGCTCACTCAATTCTAATTTTAAACACACACAGGTTATATTTCCTCTTTGTCCTCACAGGGGGCCATCCTCACCACCATGCTTGTGTCACGGAACTTCTCTGGTAAGTTATTCAGGTGTGATGAAGCTGCAAATTAACCTTTGAACTGTTTTGATTGACAGCTGAGTTGACGAATATGTGTGTTTTCTGATTGGTCTGTTCTGTGTATGTTCTTATGGTTCTCCAGGGAATCGTCTATGTGTCTTTTAGATCCCCACTCCGTCTTAATGTGCTTGGTTGTCTGTTGTCTATCAAATAAATACTTTAAGCCTCTTGCTCTCATTAAAAATGTCCTTTGGGCACGATTTGGGCTACACAAGGTATATATATTTATACACCGATTTTGTGGCCCTTAAGTTGTACTTAAATTGTTATAATGTTATTGCATTAGATATCAAACCAAATGGTACCTAAAAAACAAATCATGCTAGAGAGTTCCTCCATTTTTTAGCGGTTCTACTATTGCAGAATCAACAAAATGTGGCATTTTTATGATCCTGCATAATAAGCCATTTAACCCCAAGATAATCACAAAAAACTCAGTGCTACTTAATTTTATTGACATAGTAGTGTCATCGAGAAACATGCATGAATAAGAAAATAAAGTTAAAAAAATTACATTTGATTATTCAATTTCTGAATACTTGATTATTAAACCTATGTGAAAAACTTTGAGTACTCTGCATTTCATTTGTATCTTTGGCCTATTGCTTGTAATTTGCTTCTTTGTTTTTGTTTAAAAATAATAATTATCTTGATTAAAAGCTTTGTATCATAATTTGGTAACAATATTTTTTTTTGTCATGTACATAATACATAATGTGATAAATGTGTCCTAATAAAAAAAAAATGCAGGGTTTCTGCAAATTACTGCCACAAAATCAGTAATTTTAAATGCAAAAATTACAAAAAAAGAGAGAAAAAAAGAGAAATCCTGGTGGGACTGGCTAGAGAGTTTCTCAGAACTAAAATGGGAACCAGTCTACATTAGAGCACATCGACTTCAATTGTATGGACCCAAAAAAAATTTTTTTCAAAATGCCATAAAGGTAATACAGCAACGTGAGGGTGAGTAAATTATGACAGAATTAAAATTTTTGTGTGAACTAGAACTTAAATATCATTAATCATTTTAAACAAATTACCACTTATAAATGCCGCTTGGGTCAATATCTAATGTGATGGCATTGATACATTTGTAAGTGTGGTTTAAGTGTCCACATACTTTTTGGGACCACTCTCTGTATATGTTTACTTTCTGCCCACCACTTACGTACAACCTTTTCCTCTCCATCTTGCAGTTTGCAGTTTTCCTGTAGCTCTGACCTCACAGATATCATGCATAATACAAGCAAGATAACATGCATTTCGTGTAATTTACTGTCTCTCTCCGTCAATTCTCTTTTATTTGACTGCATCCTTAATGAAAATTCAAGCAGTTATCGCAGCACTTTCTGCCTTTTGAACTCATCTGTGATGCCAGGGCTCTGCTTGTAACTGCTTCAGATGATGGTCCAACAAAGGACATTGATAAATATATGTGGTTTTGAATGTTAGGAGGGATGATTCCCCCTGGGTCAGAGTCTTGTCTTTGTTGTACGTTGGTTGTAGTGAAAATATGGCTCTTGTTTGAGTGGGGATCATTTTGTTATGAGCCACCTGTCTTTCAAAGAATAAAAAAAAAGAAAAGAAAATTGGTTTGACGTGTTCTTATAACTGACAGTTTCTTCTCTCGTAGACTAATGAATGGTTCTCTTTCACTCTGCCCCCTTTCCTCTTCCCTCTCTCTCTCTTTTTGTTCCTCCCTCTCATTTTGTTTGTGATTGTGTGTGGGTGGATATGTGTGTGTATGGACGTACACACTCCTGTGTGTGTTAGTGGGTAGCAGGCAGACCACGGCTCCCGCCTCGGTCACTGTGGCTGCGGCTGCAGTAGCCGCTGCTGCAGGCACCACAGCAGGGCTGGTGGAACAAGGTAGCGCCACCCTATGGGGGCCCAATTCCTCTGACCCTTTCTGTCTCTGCGCTCCTCTGGATATTCCTCCCATTCTGTTATTCTCTATTCACAGTGTGCTCCACTGGTTTTTTGTCTTTTTCCCTTTTCTTTAACTTTTTATTTGATCTTTTCTCTTTCCCCCGTTTTTTTTTATCTGTTCTCTTTCCCTATTTTCCTTGAAATTTCTTGTTCTCTTTTACATTTTCCTCTATTTTTTCCTTTTCAATTCCTTTTTCACTTCCCATATAATTTCCTTCCATTTCCTTTTCATTACCCTTATCTGCTTTCCTTTCCTTCCCTTCCCTTCCCTTCCCTTCCCTTCCCTTCCCTTCCCTTCCCTTTTTTCTTTGTTTTTCCTTCTTTCCATTTTCCTTCCTTTTACCTTTTCCTTTCCTCTTCCCATTTTCTTACCCTTTTCCTTTTTACTTCTCTATTCATTTATTTTCTCTTTTCCTGTTTGATTTCCGCTTTTCATTCTTGTTTTTAATCTTATTTTGTCTAATTCATTTCCATTTCTTTTTTTCCCCTTTTTTCAGTTTCTTTCATCTCTTCTACAAAAGAAAAGTTTTTGTTTTTCATCTTCCCTCAACATCCTCTTGTTTCCTTTCTGTCACTCACTAGTCCATGATTATCTCTGCATGGGGCTAAAGCATGCATGATGACTCACCCTCTACCTGTCTTACCTGCTGTTTCTTCTTTTTCTTTCTTGTCCTTCACACTTTTGTGTCATTATTCAAATCATTTCTCTTGTAGTTAATGTCTGATAACATATGTATCCGCTTATTGGTTCTCTCAGCTGTCTGTCATCATCATTTCATTCATTTTTTATTTATTTCACAGAGGATCTACACCAAGATCCATACATGATAAATGTATTTTCCGCTCCCGCTCTCCTTTGAGTCCTGTTCTCTCCATCATTTCTTCCTTTCATATGTGCCATAAATCACTGCCTCTTCCTTTTTCTGGTTTATTCTTATCCTCCTCCTCCTCATTGCTTTTCTTTGCCATTTTTATCTGACACCCATAAGTCATCTTCACTTTCATCCTCTGTATTCTTCCTTCCTTCCTTTACTCTGTCTTTAATATGGTCTGTGAAGTTGAAGTTCACCCCTGTTTTAATAGGGTGGAACAGTCTGCCTGCTGTTGTGCTGAATGCTGCATGGGAGGTTGGACTAATGCATGTTCACTAACTTGGGGGTGTGATGAGCTGAACAAATCTGGTGCACTTGTGCATGGTCAAAGCTTCTTGACAACTGTACTCACTGTATCTGAAGTTTTTTATTTTTATTTTCACTTTTTAGCCTTTTTTAGTCAGGATTTCATATTTACGTGTATGGAACAGATGTAGAATTATGTAGAATTTCAGTTAACGTTACTTAGATATACTTGATACACAGTATGAGGGGAAATCCATGGAAACAATATCTAATTTTGTTCCATTTTGGGCTATAGTGAATATACAGTTGCAGTATATTTGTTTTATTTTGCAGGGTTTAGCCTAGAGCACTACACTATGTCTGCAATTTAACAAAGTTAATCTCGGGCCTGTAATTAAACTTTATAGTTGTAGTTTGATCAAGAACATTGAATCTGGAATCTTTTTCTTGCCCCTTGCTTCAAAGATTTTTTTATTTATTTGTTCCAAAATGGCTTAAAATTGTGTTTTTCTATCAGTGAAAGCATTATTTTGACCAAACAGCCTTTGACATTTAAGCTTATAGGGGAAAAATGTGATAATTTAGAATTTCTTGATTTATCCAAGAAGCTGTTCTGGCGGAGAAGCCAGTGACATTGTTTTGCCAGTTACCTTTTTGAAAGGGCAAAAAATGATTCGGGTTTAAATGGTTTTCAGCTTTTCCTTTTCCTTTCCTGTTAGAAGGGTTGAGCTGGTACATTGAGCATGTGCTGTGGCTCAATATTTGATGCTCCCTCCACATGCCTGCAATCAAATATTTATGTAGTGCTGCCTCTCTCTGTTGTCCTCCTACTACCCCCAGCCTGAGCAACCAGACTACTGCGCTATAGGCAGTTACACTACATATGGGACTGACACCTGGATCACGATCCTCATATTTGACTTTAATATGGTGCATTTAAGAGAATATATTTATTTAATATATTTTAGGTTATGTGGACACCCATTTCTTAGTTTGGGTGTTTCAGTGGAAGCTATTAAAACAGCAAATGATGGATCAACTCCTTATTTATGCCCATAGTTTTGAAGTTAAATGTTCAGAAAGTACAAATCAGTGACGAGTTCACATACTTTTTGTAATGTTACAAAAAGCTGTGTTCTCATTAGATAATAATGCTGTTTTGCTTGTGCAACTGCTATGCATTGCACAAGATGCATTGAAATGTTCAAATATATATAGATATAAATAAATTTTAAGACAAATATATTTTAATTCATAAAATTTTAATTATTAATTTATTTAATGTTATGTTTTTAAAAGCATCAGAGAACAATTGAGGACTAGGTTTTAGAGTAGTGAAACTGCTTACAGCCTGGCACAAACGTAGTTGCCTGCTATTTTTTGCTAAACCTTGTTTGCGCTGACTCTCTGCAAAGTAGATAAACTCTGAGAAAAATGTACTGTACTGAAAACAAGTTGACATTTTTTGTTCTTGAGCCCCATATACAGCTCCATAGATAGTCGTTTAGCTTCAGCGTTCATAGAAACAGCACAAGAGACTCCGATATTTTGACCTCTTCTCCATTGCTCTTTCTTTTTCTCTCCATTCTCTCTTCCTCTCTTTCTCTTGCTCTCTGTGTTAATGGCAAGGTAAGGAGCTCCACTCACTTTAGAGTATTAGAGGTTACTTCACTACTCCTGCTCTTTCTACAGGGACGCATGCTCATTTCTTCTCACTGATCTCTTTGGGCCACCAGATGGATGGATTGGTCCAGATACAGTTCTAGGAGGATCTGTATCAAATACCAACCTTGAGTGACCCTGTTCTTTAGTTTATGACCAGAAATACAGCAAATGTATTCATCTTAGACTTAATTGCTTGTGCAACCTCTTGCTATGTTGTACCTCTTGCATTTTTTTAAATGCATAATTCCAGCACACGCCATCTTAATGGTGACACAGCTGTATCTGTAGGATCATTTTACAAAATTTTCTAAATGACAGGGTTTTGCTGAAATTATTGAATTAAACGAACAGTACCTAGATCAGTAGTCTTAGAAAGGTTAAGATAACCTTCAAGATGTACAATAGGGATGGGCACAAGTACCAGAGTACTCGGAATGTAAATAATGAAAACACATTTGTTTCGTAACTCAGTTTGATTGAACTTCAATTTGATGTTGTGACAGCTATACACAAATGTACCCCACCAAAAAAAAAAAAAAAAAATTGGGATTGCTTAAATTATCATATTTGCAGTACTTAAGTATAGAAAATTATTAAAAATGCCCATCCTGCTGTATAACCTGAGGGGTGAAATTCAAAATCTCTTCTGTGCTTTATTAATAGTCTAACCAACTCTGGCTGTAAAAGTCTTCGAGCAAACAGACTTGCCAAATGAGTCTGTGATGGTGTTACTGTGATTTAATACAAAAAAAAAAAAGAAGTGATCTGAATGAACTGCCTCAAAGGTGCTTGAGAGAGTGTGTGTGCATTTGTTTGCATATGTATTTTGAATATGAAATGGTACAAGAACCATCAATGAATGACAATGATTGTGTCAGATGCTTCTTTTTACTCATTAATGATTGTTTTATATTGATTTAATGAGTGTTGTTCACCATGATGCTGTAAATACACTAAAAAGTATTTATTTATTTTTAAATGACGAATCCTAATAGTCCTTGGATTGAAAAGTTTCTCTGTCATCTACACTGTTTGGCTGAACCTAAAAACGCTCATTTTAAATATTCAGTTGTTTCCCTTCCATATAATTGTTTCCTTTCCAAATGGTTTATAAAATCAAATAAAGTGGCAAGAAATGTACACTGAGTAATGAGATATCTGTGGCACCGTTGTTTCTATGATAACGAAGCAGATAAAAATGTATAGCCTAATTATAGATTTCTCTGCCACAATGTTTCCTGTAAGATGTAAACAAATCTTTTTTTACATTTTATTTTTATGAATTAGACAATGGGGAACTGTTCAATCTAAGGGGCCATGGGTGAGACTTTATAATAAATCTTAATCTGTTTAAAAGTCATTGTTACTTTTATATAGTACTTAATAGGTCATTCGTTTTTGAACAAACAAATAGTTAGGTATCATGAAACATTGAATTGTATTTAAATTTCATACACACTACCAAATAGAAAGTTCAAAATAACAGCAAATGTTCTTTTTAGCAGCATCATATGACCCCTTTAAAAAAAAATTGTACTGACTCCAAAGTTTTGAACAGTAGTGTATATTCATATTCATATCTACCTGTACTTTGACTGCTGATCTAGTAAGAATTAAAGGGTTAGTTCACCCAAAAACCAAAATAACTTAAATAAAAATCGCCCATCCATAAAAAAAAAAAAGTGTCACGCTGACCTCATACGTAATGCTCCCGGAACTGCTTCTGTGTACAACTGCTGGTGCAAGCTACATTACAGTGATTATTACGTTTTGAATATGGATATTTTTCTCACAAAAACGCATCGATTCGCTACAGGAGGACTTTGTTCACCCCCCTGGAGCCGTGGGAGACACTTCTTTTTATGGATGGGCGATTTTTATTCAAGTTCTTTTGGACTGAAGCAATGCAACACCCGCTGAGTGGCATTAAACAGCTTGAAAGATCAAAGACAATTTTTAATATAACTCCGACTGGATTCGTCTGAAAGAAGAAAGTCATATACACCTAGGATGCCTCGGAGGTGAGTAAAACGCAGCCTAATTTACATTTTTGGGTGAACTAACCCTTTCAATAACGCATTGTTAATGACTCATGAATGAAATTTATTATAAAGTGTCATGGCAGAAGTCTGGCTGTATCAGACTGATGAGTAGGCCAACACAGAATCTGCCCTCGTAAAATGTTCTGGATATTTTTGCAAAATTTGAATTCCTATTATTCACAAAGTTTTGTCTATCTCCTATTTTTCCATGTTTAAATCCATTCCATGCAATTCCCCCCCAAACAAAGTGCAGAACCAAAAATCTGCAGATTCCGTCTGGGTCTAGTTATAGTTTGCAAGATTGTTAGTATGATTAATAATTGCAGTGTTATGTTTCATTTTAGGAAATATAGCCCTGGTTGAACTTCCTTTCCAGCAGGTTAATTGACATTTTGTAATATACAGTATGGTGTTGTTGATTTAACGTTTCTCTTATTTCCTCCCATTGTAGCAGCCAAGAGCTTGTTGAACAAAAAAGCAGACGTTAAGGTAAGAAGATCTGTTGAACTTCTGACCTCTGTGACCCAGACATGACCATATGGCTTCTCTCTTTTCACTACTCTATCTCTCTGCCCTGTTATCTTACTGGCTGATATGTCAGTGCTTGCGTAGAGTGTGTTCTTTATTGCATGATTGTGTTGTTTTTTACACAAGTGTCGTTGGTTCATATTGTGTTTGATGTGTGTGTATGGGTGTGTTTGTTTTAGGACATGAGAGTTTTTAGACCTGACCACTGACACTTAAAATCACCTTATTAAAATACAGTATAATTCAGTATCGTTCTGATTAAGTCTAGTCAACCTCTCCTGAAAACTGATTTCACCTTACTGACAGATTAAAAAAATATTACAAAAATATCAGAGATCTCTGTTTTTAAAGGGTAGTTCAAAGGGTAGTCATCATTTACTCAATACTCATGTATTTCTGATTGTTATTTTTACGTTAAACACTAGAAGAGTTAAAGTTAGCTTAGCATGAAATGTTTAAACTGTATATATATATATATATATACACTACCGGTCAAAAGTTTGGGATCAGTAAGACTTATAATGTTTTTTAAAGAAGTCTCTTATGCTCATCAAGGCTGCATTTATTGGATCAAAAATACAGAAAAAAAACATTAATCTTGTCTTATTAATATAAAATAATGGTTTCTATTTTAATATCCTTTAAAATATAAT